GAATTTGCTCTTGCAAAGCAGGCACCCTACTGCTTGCGCACACCTCCAGTCCATTTTACTCTGATTATTTTAGAAATGGGGTCTCTCAAACTATTTGCCCGGGGCTGACTGTGAGCCTCAATCCCCCCCAATGTCAGCCTCCCAAGCAGCTAAGATTACAGGCATGAGCCACCGGCACCCAGGTCCAAGTTTGTACATTTTTTGGTGGGACTAGAGTTTAGCACTCAGGGCTTCGAGTTCGCTTCAAGCTTGCAAAGCAAGTACTCTATCAATTGAGCCACACCTAATTTTTAAATGTATTAATATTTTTTAAATTCCTCAGTTTTAATGTCTAACAGGGTATTAACATCAACCCACAGATGCAAAAGCTTCTTTTGACAGTGTTCAGCACTCCTGAGCCCAGTAAGTGTGAGACTTGTGCTACACATGATCAGCTGACAAGTCAGGAGGCAGAGAGGTGTCCAAATGTCGGTGTAGAATTGAGCTTAAGAAGCCAGCAGGAGGTGCTAATGTCAGAAGCCCACCCGCTGCCTTGTGTCTGACTGGCACTGATGGTCACAGTGACACCCAGAGGAGTTCTGGGTGGCATCACTAATTCAGAACACACACACACCTCAACCCCTCAGAGCCATGGAGGCTACGTCCAAAGAGCTGCCACATGCCTCTCACTGAAAGTGGCTCTAGTGACAAAACACTCGAGAGGCAGGTGAGCAGTAAGAACACAGCACAGGACAGAGCCAGGTCTCCTGGCCACGCTGCTCTCCGTGACTGGTGCTAGGTACCAGGTGCTATTGCTAGGTGCCTGGTGCTAGGTGCCAGGCAGGTGAGGCTGGACACCCACGTCCATGGCAGGGAGTCTACTCCGTCTACTCCATCCACTCCATCCACTCCATCAATGTTTGAAAAGTCTATGTGGCCAGGTCAGCCTTGTCTTTCTCTCTGGGACAACTGGGGACTGGGCCTCACTTAAGTACTCACACAGTCACGGCTGGACAGTGACAAAGCTGGGCCTTGAGTCCAATCTGAATCCCAAGTACCCACTGCCTGCCTCCTCACGTGTTAAGCGCGTGGGAAGCCCGCGGCTGGCGTCCACGGGGAGGGAGGAAAACCTGAGCCCCAGCAGGAAGAAGCGGCTGCATTTGGTGAACAGCCCGGGTGAGCCGTGCAATGTCCTGGGCAGGTTTGCTGCTGGCCAACCTGCTGCTGGCTGGCCCCAACTGCCACACCTGAACATGTTGAACTGCTTCTCCTCCTGCCTGTCCCAGCCAGGGACAAGCAGCGCTGCGGAGTGGAGTGGCCAGAGGCCACGAGATGGTTAGGTAAGTGCCCCCAGAGACCCAAGGGTTAAGGCTTGGTCCCCAGCCTGTGGCACTGTTGGGACATGGTGGCACATTTAAGAGGTGGGGCCTGATAAGTGGTCTTTCAGTCATTGCAGTGTGACCTCAGAGAGCACAGTTGAGTCCCCTTTCACTTCTTGGCCGGGAGGGAGGTGGTTTTGCACTTCTGTCACAACATGCCACCACAGGCTCAGAGCCAGAAAGCCTCAACACTAAATCAAAACCAGCTTTCTCTCTTTTTTCTACCTTTTCTTTTAAAACAATGAACATATATAAATTTTATAATCAGGAAAGAAAATTCAGTCCAATGACCAAACACGTCTTGTGATATTCTACAAACACCACCATCCAGTAACGGCCCCACACTCTCTTCTTGTGAAGACAGAGTATGTATCTTTTTGACTTCTGGATACTATTTTCAGAATAATTTGATGACTTTACACTTGAGCTATTAGGCATTCTTGATTTGTCTCTGTCTTCAATGTGAACAGTTGGAATTGAAGTGTCATTTGCTGACATACCAGATTTTTTCAAAGCCTCTTAAGTCTCATTACTTGGGGAAAGGCTGAAAATAATTTCAGGAGGCACAGCCCTCATCTTTACTCCTCCCAGCCTGTGGAAGTAAACCGCTTAATCTGCGGCCACAAGTACTGGAAAAGTATCGACAATCATGGTGAGATGTGCCAGTGAGCCTTCCCAGCTTTTTTTCTCCTGTCTCTTGCATTTTTTACATCTTTAAATAATAGAAGGATCACCCTGCACTTAGGAAAGAGGTCCAGTTGATGTGTTAACTGCACTGTGCATAGACAAGCAGGATTCCAGCTCTGGTCCTGGTCCATCCTGAATCACCCCCTCAGAAACAGAGCCCCCCCACACACCTTTTTATACACTGGGGTTTGAACTCCGGGTCTCACACTTGCCAGGTAGGTGCTCTACCACTGGAGCCACACCCCCAGCCCACCTTCTCTTTGGAAGTATGGTACGGAGACAGAAAGCTATGAGGCCACGAGGCCATGATCACCTGACAGCATCAACCCTGACTGAAGGGACAGTAGCCCCTAGCCCCAGCCACTGCTGTGGGCAGGAATGAAGGCCTTCTGGTTGTCAGATCCAGTCTTTCAGAAGTGAGACACTTGAATTTCTGAGGACAGACTCCTGATTTTGACCCTTGTCCACTGTACTAAAACACAGTTCACCAGCTTTAGTTCTTTGGACAAAGGAATCCCTTTTTCCTGCTCTTAGGAAATCTATAACCACCTGGTGCACCTGAGCACATTCAACTGCCCAAGGTCAGTCAATCTGGTCTTTTTTAAAAAAGGTAATTTGGAAATGGCAGAAATCTAAGCCTAAGCAGCTGCAGGTACGGGAGGACAGAAATGCAAAGGCAGACCTACAGGAGTCACCTGAAGGAAAAGTGGCCTGACGAGCTGGTGGGATTTCCACGGGATGGTCCTGTGTACTTGTAACTACAGCACTTGACAGGAGTCTGCCCCCAAACTGGACTAGAGACTTGCAGGCAGCAGAGAGACACAATGGCTACAGTACCACTATGGAGCCAGGCGCTGATGAAACCATTTGTAAAAGGACTGTGTGTGCCAGAGAACACTGCAGGTTTGTGGTGTCAGAGGGCACGCCCTGTCACCCCAGGCTTTATCCCTAAGCAGCACGAAGGCCAGGTTGGTGAAAATCAGTCTTCTTGTGCAGACGCCAGGCTTCCGTCGGAGTGAGCAAGCCAGCTGTATGGCATGTCTCTCGCAGGGTGGGCAAACACCATTCCTGTCCAGGGCACTTGGGTATTTAGAGACGCAATGGAGTGACGAAAAGATGCAGAGCCAAGAGGGAGCTTTGCAGACTATCTCAGCTTTTCATCTTTTGTCTTCTACCTGAGCTCCCAAAATGGCAGCCATGAAAAATTTCTTTCCCCAAGAACTTGCCTTGTTTCTGGTCTTCCATGGAAAGCCTTGGCAGGGTGTCCCTGGCTATAGGCTCTGGCCTGCCCACTTTACCCAACCTGGGAGTGAACAGAATTCACCTCTCCACCTAGGGCCCCTGCTTCCACCTCGCCTTACAGACAGCAGGCCACTGTACCTTAATTGTAAGAGCTGGCTGCAGCCACACCAACCATATGGTCTTACTTGTGAACTGACTTTTCACAAGTGACCTCAGGTTCTCCAGATGTGGAGATGAATTATCAGGGGTTATGGAGTCTGAGTGTTTTACCGGCTTTCACTGCTCTAAATTCTCAAACAGAGCACGATTGTTGTTTGCTTATTTCACTAAAGGCATAAATATGAAACTGTAAACACTTAACAACCTGAGGAAAATATTTCCCATGTTCCCAACATGAAACAGGAGGTCAAATTGTTTCCTCTCTCACTTATCAGCAAAACCCCATCAGCCACGCAGGTGATAAGGTCCTGGGAGCCTGGCAGGGGTCACTTGGCAAAGACATTAGCAACAGGTCACAGGGAGGGTTGACAGTGATGGATAGGGAGGAGAATCTGACAAGACAGCCTTCGAGCCCAGGTCTCTTGGGCACCACCTACAACTGTGGACGTGGTTACAGGCACCACTGTTTTGAAGACTTCAAAGTCTCCAAATATTACTTGGAGAGACACTAGCTGTGTCAGGCAGAATAAGAGAGACATCCAGGCCCTAAAGCCCTGGTACCTATGAGCACAGTGGCCCTGCAGCCAGCCAGTCATGGACTGAGAACATTCAGAAGCATGAGTCTGGGCTGATCACATACGCTGCTTTCCTTATCATTCCCTAAAAAGTGAGCATTGTAACTATTTACACAGCATGTACATACTAAATGGGAGCAGAGGTGTTCGTGAATACTGGGCCATTTATAAAAGGACTTGGGATTCTGTGGGTTTTGGTATCCAAAAGAGGGAGGAGTGCTTTGAACAGATCCCCTTGGAATAGAAGGATAACTCTATACAGCGAGGAAGAAGTAAGGGGACAGAACTGAGGGCAATTGAGCCATGTCTCTAGTCCTTTTTTGTGCTTTTATTTTTTAGACAGGGTCTCACACTTTTTGCCTGGACCAGTCTTGGACCACAAACTTCTTAGTCATGCCTCCCATGTAGCTGGGATTACAAACATGCACTACCATGCCTGGTTTGCTGGCTGATCGTGAGCTGTCATCTTGCTTATTTCCATCTAAGCTGACCTTACTAAGACTATCCTGGATTACCAGGTGGTCCCAAAGTCACTGCAAAGGTCCTTAAAGGAGCTGAAGCAAAGCACCACGGGCTCTGAGCAGGGGCAGGGTAGTACCAAGGCACAGGGTCCTCTAGCAACAAGGGGCTCTCCTTGGAGACTCCTGAAGGCACACAACACAGTGACAGTCACTCTGGACTTCTGGCTTCCCTACAAGATGGTGGGTTTGTGTGGTTTAAGCCACTGGGTTTGTGGTAATGAGAGCAGTCACACGACACCTGAGTCTTACAGATATGTCTACAGACATTTCCCTGCCTCAGTGTCCCTAACATTACAGTATGTAGCACTGACTCAACCTTCTCTGGCTTGACCTGGTACACGCTCCCTGTAGCGTGGGGCTGAGTGCCCTGTGGGCTGAGGCCTCCCATTGTGGCTCTGCTGAACACTCTGGTATGTGGAGACCTAACACTGACACTGAAGAGTCTCAGGTGAAGAGGAATTTAACGATTGTCTGAAAGCCCTGAGGCCTGGGAGGACACAGGTGAGAGAATGCCAGCTGGTGGGTCCTTTAAAAAAGCCAGCGTGGGACACGTGGCTGGAGAAAGCAGACCAGATCCACCACGCAGCTGAGTGTTTGTCTTTAAAATTTATTGACATGGTTTCCAACGAGGACGGCGGCCCAGAACTGTCAACTGTGTCTACCCTGAGCAGACACATGGCAGGCACGATTCCTGCTGGCCGGTCCCAGAGCTGCTCCTGCAGAAGTACCAGCTACAGGAACCGTATTCCAGCCCCAAACTGGACGCCATCACATATCCTAAAAAGAGAAAGGGAAGTCAAACTCAGTGGTGTAAGCACAGGGATGTCAGAAGCACTGCTCGGAAGCCCCACCTTCCTTCTGCACCCTTGCCAGCCTGTTGCTTCTTCCTGGGTTGGGTGAATAATCAACCTCTAGAGATTGAAAAGAAATGGAGATGTAAGCCTCCTGTTGCTCCCTCCTCCACCTGACAGGGAGGCTGGCAGGAGCATAACTAGGAAGGGCAGGAGGACAAAGGCGGGCAGGAAGGGGAGACAGAGAGGAAGAGAAGGAGGGCCAAAAACTTAGGGCCAGCCCATACCACCCCCTGACCCCCAAAGGGTCCTGGGGCTAATGATGAAGCAGCACCCCAAACTCAGAGATTTGGCCTGGCCAACCTCCTAGACCTGCTCCCGACCCAGGATGAGAGCAGGAGTGCTGCCAGTGCTCATGACTGCCAACTGTTTACTTGAGACACTGATTCTGAGTCATGAACACTGCATTAGCTTCTATAGGGTGATAGTGCCGTCAGCCCAGGCAGCACAGGACCTCCTCTTAACCATGAGCCCTCAGTGATCAACCACTGGGAAACCACACAGCATCCTTACAAAGAAAACACACAAAACCTGTACTTAGCTGTGTTCAGGCCTAAGTGGTTTGTTTTTGTATTTTCCACTACTGGGTCTATAAAAAACAGACTGTACCAACACTCACTGTTTTAGAAAAGTGCCTGAAAATAAGGTAGGAGACAAAAAGTATGTTAAGCCTTTAGCCTAGGTAATTCAGAAAAGCAGGCATCCCAGTGGATCAAACAACTTTTGGCTTGGAGAACACACAAAAAATACAAGACAATTATAAGGCCAGGTGCCACTGAGCCTCTGACCCTCCAGACGTCTCCAGGCAGGTGCAGGCTGCCTCCTGCCTACCAGCATCACTGTCCCAGTACAGATCTGAATGGTCTCCCTGCACCTCTTGCCCAACCCTGCCAGCACCAGCAGGGGTCAGGCTGATGGGCGCCTTCCTGCTCCCAGCCTCAATGCCTACACTGTCTCCCCGTGTTCCAGGAGCATCTCCACTGAGTTCTCAGATGAACCCCAGGTGCTGCTCGAGGCTCAGGGGATTCAGTGCAAACAAGGCAGCTGAGGTCCTGGACTCAAAGACTATGTAGCTGCCCAAGGGAAAGAAAACACAGTGGCAGAAGGCAGCAGGGTGCGGGGTTGGGCAGCAAAGTTCAGGCCTCAATGTGGCATTCTCATGGATCTGCTCCCCTCCAGCTAACTCCCTGTGTCCCTGCAGGGCCACCACCCCGGTCCTCCCACCCTGTGCCTCGCACAACTGGTCCCTGAGTCCATGTTACCCCCTCCCCAGCTGATATGACTGTGTCTTCCCCACAGTACACTGAGCCGCTCTCCTAGCACACTGACTCATCACTGTGTCCCTAGAGACTGAGCTCTCAAAGACAGAAAATGACAGAAGGCAGTTAGTCCCAGAGATGACAGTGCCATAAATCACTTTCAGAACAAAACTCAGCAACACTTCAAAACCCTCTCTGCTTTTGTAAAGGCCTCAATTCCTAATTATAGCGTGCCTGCACTAACGAGGGGGGTGCAGGCGACTTCCACACACAGAACTCCCATCCTGCTGGCTGCATAATTCTGGAGATGAAGATCAAACGCAGGCAGCATCACTCAAGCGTCACAAAACTCCAGTTCTGATAGTAAAGCTTCACACCAAGCCACATGGCGGGGAAGGTGACGTCCACATTCAAGGGTGCCAGGCTGACTCGATGACATTCACTGCCTACAGCAAACAGAACCGCTGTCCCTGCTGGGAACAGAGGACTTTCTCTGCTCTGGCCTGTACACAGCACAGCACAGCACTGCTTCCTTCTGGAGGAGGCCACATTTCTAAACTGGTGTCTGGACCATATTTCTCAGATTTAACCCTAAGACAGAGGCAAAGCTGAGGTGAGGGTGGCTGCTCTGTGGATTAAAGGGGCTCCTGGACCAGCATGCTGCTTGGCACACACTGACGCCCCGTGGCCACTGCCAGTACTGCAACATCATGAGCATCTCAGACCCCTCCCCAGCCTGTGGGGTTGGTAGCCACAGGTCAGAGGTGTAGTGGGAACCACACTCCTGGTGGGGGGGTGGGGGGCGGTTCCTGGGAAGGGCATGGCAGAGTCACCTGCAGAGGGAGTCTCCTGTGCTGAAGACTGAGGTTCAAGAAATCTGCTGAAAAGTGGGTCCTGCTCTAGGAAAACAGAACCCCTTCCTTCACTCTTCACTCTGAAATCAGGACGCAACACCCCAACTGTGGTGTGGCAGCAGCCACACAGGTGGGACAGGAAGGGGAGGAATCTCCCGAGGGTATTCTGGGAAGAGCGGATCACAGTGGGCACAGGAGCAGACATAGGAAACAATCAGCACTGTCTCCAGGCCACACACCAGGCACAGCACACAGTGCTTTGTGTATACTAGCCCACCTATCCTCAAAACTGCGAGCAGTCCCTACCCCTACCATCCATCCTCTGGACAGGAACACAGAGACCCAGAGAAATTATGTAACTTACCCCAGGTCACACAACCACACAAAGCTGCACAGCTGGGCCCTGGAGCACACATGCAGCCTGTGCAACTAAGCCCTTTCCAGTGTTTGCTCTGTGTGGGAAACAGCAAGGCGTGGAGGGAGCTGGTGGTCCTCAGAGCAGCCTCACAGTCCCAGCTGTGGCCCGGATGCTACACTTCCCACCTTCCAGGGAGAGCAGGAAGCGCCACCACCCCCTCCAAGGTGTAACCCACAAAGGCTCTGGATGTGCCACACTGAACCTGAGCAATGGCGCCTTACTGCACTGCAAGCTTTCTAGCAAGGCTGTCCTTTCAAGGCACTGTCACCACTGCCCTGTGTGGAAGACTGAGTCTGTCCTTCACTGCGCAACTTTCAACTCCATGTTTGAAATCAGTGATGACTCATGGCAACTAAAGTGTGGACACATAGCGAAGCCCAGAGGACTGAATCCTAATATAAAAACGGGCAAAGGAAACACTCCACAACAGGGGTTCGTGTCAGCTCCTAAGCCACAGCGTGTAGGCGTGTGGAGTGGGACTTTGGGAGGTGATGAGGTTTAGATGAGGTCAGTAGGGTGGCCCCCAAGAGATGCCAGAGTACTTGCTTGCTTGTTCCCCGGACCGTGTGAGGACACAGCAAGAGGCGGCCTCTGCAAGCCAGGAAGCAACCTGGCAGCACCATGGTCTTTAACTTCCCAACCTTTAGAATGATGCCAAACCTATTGTTTAAGCAGCCTGAATTGTCAGAATGACACTACTTCCAGAGTTCTGGAAAGTTATTATGCATACCAAGTAATATAAGAAACAAAATTAACTTCTGTCACAGTAATCAGCCTTTCACCATAGTCATCCATGTAACAGTCAGACTTCTGTACCGGCAGATTCAACCAAGTGTAGATCAAAAATATTTGAAAAACCATTTTTCCACAATGTTCCAAAAAGCAAAACTTGAATTTTTGCCATGAGAAGACTACACTGAATCCACACGAATGAAATGCTATACAGGCCTTGAGCCGGTATCACACTGATCTAGAGAAAAGATCTGAAGTTATATAGGCAGGAAGCCAGGCACAGTGGTACGCCTGCAATCCCTGCACTCCAGAGGCTAAGGCAGGAGGATCTGAGTTCCAGGCCAGCCCAGGCTACACAGTGAAACCGTATCTCAGAAAGAAATGAACCATGCTGTTTCATACAAGGGACTTAACCATCTGTGATCCCGGTATCCCAGTGAGTCCCAGAGCTGGCAGATCCCGAGAGATGGCATCTCGAGAGCCTCCCGTCAATAAAGCAAAGTAGAGAAAGGCGAAGATGACGGGCTCTCTGGGACCAAGGGCAGGCTCCTGAGAACAAAGCCTCTATCACCAGGGGATCCACAAGCTGCCTTCCAGTAAGACCCTTGGCAGGGTCAAGGGGACAAGACTCCACCATCTTGGGGACAGTAAGTAAGAACATGGAAGGGAAGGGCATGGGCGCGTTTTTTCTCCAAACTGGAAGAGAAATCCAATGGAGGAAAACATACATCTTTCCATTCTTTTGCTAACTGTTCAACTTCCCTTAAGGCCTTGAACCTTAAAGCCACGCCCACACCAAAACAGAACCACTGGAGAGCATGACACAATGGCTAACAAGAGCTCCCGCACGCACCTGTCGCCCCTCTGCACGCCCATGGGGATGCAGTAATTAAGTTCCAAGCGAGCGATGTTGCCGAGCCTGAGGACGATCCCAGCTCCATACGACCAGCGGATGCATTCAGCCAGCTTCCGAATGTGAGCTTTGGGGCCATCCCCTGGAAAGAAAGAAGGACACTGGGCAAAGATGTGTGGCTAGGCCTGCCAGAGCCCTCTGCCAACAGCCCAGCTCCCTCTGTGCTGGGCCCTGGGGGTGGGGGGGGGAGGTTAAGCCAGGCTATGCTATCCGAGAATGTGTGAAGTGAGATGAGGATGCTATCAAGAGGGTGGGTACCATGCTTACTCACTGTCAGCTGAGCCTTCTTAACTCTTTGGGCTCCCTGCACCCCTGAGCACCTGAGAAGCCCCACTGCAAGCCTTGGCTAAAGGGCCCTGACTTCCTGTCTTCCATAAGACTGTGCAGGCCTCAGGCTGTAAGTCTTCCCTGGACTGGGATCCCTGAGCAGAGGACTGAGTCCTCCTCAGCTCTGGGGCCGCAAAGACTGTGTGCACAAACAGCTCAAGACATGTCTGCTGAATAAGTGAATACACAGACTTTCCTTTGACAGTACTGGCTGACTATCTTTCTCCTATGTTTCATTCATTCAAGCAACAACTTTACCGAGGACACTGTAATAGGTGTTGTGGGGATTTTTTTTTTTAAGGGCGGCATGGACCCTAAATTTAAAGATCATCCAATCGAAACAAGAGTGAAACCTATATGTATATTGTGCTTATAGACACACACCATGTGTGCAGCCCTGGCTTGGGCATGCGGCAGACTTACCATAGTTGAGGTTGCAGAGGTTCCCTGCGTTGAGGAAGAAATGGGTTCTGAAAAGCTCTCCAAAGCCGCCCTGCCCTGGCCTGAAAGGCAGCGGGGTGTACAGGTGCAGGCCACCAGCCCAGTACGCCTCCCCGCCCAGGTAATCTCCTGAAAGGAGGAACAGAACAGACGTGGCTCAGAGGCAGAACACCACATCAATGCCCCACAGGTAAAATTCACGCCACGGATAAAACACATGTGGGGCTCCTCACCCCTTCTCATTCCCGGTATGCTGACCTCATTAGATGTCTTTCCTTTTTTGCCTAGTCCCCTTTACAGTTTGATTTAACTGAGGGGGAGCCAGAGTCATTCAGGAAAAATGAACTTGGCAATACATCCTACCTGCAAAGGGCCTAGAAGGGAATCTCAAGAAAATCATTTCACCCACAACCACAGGCTTCAAATCGCTTCCACTTGCAGATCAAATGCGTCTTTTAAATTCTAATTACCTAATTTAATGCCCACTGTGGCAAATGTCACAGAAACTACTCAAAGGGATCAAGTGGAACCCATTTCACATCTTCAATAAAATGCTGTTCCTCTGTTTCTAGCACAATTGGTCACGTCACACTAAAGGACTCTCCCTTAAGGGAAAAGGAGTCCCTTTTCCCTTAAGGAAAAGGGAAAGGTTCACGTTCAATGGCAACAGTCATTCAATGAGGGATACACCTCAGCAAGCACAGTGTGAATCTGGGGAATAGTGGAGGGTTTTTCCTCAATCTGCATTACGTATTACAAGTAACCCTGGAAAATAGTGTGACCAGCAATAAGGAAGAGTAAAGAAACTACGTCATTTTAAGGTATCAGAATAATACTCGTGTTTCCCTAACAGCAAAGTAAACATAGGACACTTCATACTCTTGAAGCTAAAAGACAAGTAAGCCATTTATTTCTTTTAACCATAGAGCATGAAGACAAAAATATGGAAAAAAAAACACTTGTAAGAGGAGGCCTTTTTCTTTTGTAGTGGGGCTTGAGCTCAGGGCTTCGCACTTGCGACGCAGGGGGTCTGCCTCGTGAGCCAGGCACAGGCCAATGGTTTTTGGGACTAGGGCATAGCTCAGTGGCAGGGCTTGCCTCACATACGCAAGACCCTGGGTTTGAGCCTCAGCTACACAAAATCTTAATGATTTTCAGCCCTGATGAAAGCTGTCATGTGTAAACCGTGGACACACAGAAAGGAAATGGAAATTCACGTCAGCAGTTTGACTTAGATATGTCTAACGTTTACTAAATCATGTATCAAAAATAAATAATGAGGATATTCCAGGGATTTCCTTTCAAATCAAATTCATAGGAAACTGTTGCAGTTTTGAGCTTTGTTTTTGTGGAACTGGGAGGTAAACTCAACCCCTAAGGCCTAACTTGCTAGTCAAACCCTCTAGCACTTGAGAGACACCTCAGTCCTTTCACTTTAAAAATTTAGTTTTTTAGACGGGGTCTCACTAACTTTGCCAGGGCTGGCCTGGAACTTGGGTTCCTCCTTTCTCCAGAGTGCTGGAATGTGTGGACACTACACCCAACAGAAGTACATTATTTTGCAAAATTTCAAGACTATATGCTTCAGAGAAGCAAACGCAGAAAATGTCTTACAGTTTCTGGGAGAAACCGCAGGCAGAGAGAAGGCTGCTTTTTCTGCGGTTCAGGACTACGTGCGTGGATTTGGTATGCGGCAACACCCCACACTGCCTGCTGAAAGCCGACCCTGCACTATTTCTAAAAATGCTCTCCCCATTTTCACTGCAATACTGGAACATTAGTGCCACCGAGCCTCCAGCTCTGATGCCACACCTTGATGCCAAGTAGTGTATTTACAGTCTCGTCCTCCTCCAGTACAAAATGACAAAGCCTGAGTGAGACACATGTCCCCAAGATTACTCATTGAAGACTGGCATCTCCTCAGTCTTTATTCATTCATTCATTTTGGTGGTACTGGAGCTTGAACTCTGCTACAGCCACCTTGCTAGCCCTTTTTCATGATGGGTTTTTTTCAAGATACAGCCTCACAGACTATTTGCCTGGACTGGCTTGGAACCACGATCCTCCTGATCTCTGCTCCTGAGTAGCTAGGATTACAGGTGTGAGCCACAGGCACCCTGCTCCTCAGTCCTTTTAATAGTAAAGCCCTAAGGGAACCAGTGAGAAAAATGCAGGAAAGAAACTTTGTTTTCTCTCCCAGAAACTGACCCTCATATCTTTTCTCAATGACCTATTCTGATCAGAAAATACATTCATTGTAAAAAATCTCATACACAGAGAAATGGGAGAAAATGACAATCTTTTCATTTCTCCATTCAGACAGCAAGTTAACATGGTGTTGCTCTTTCTCCCAGTGAGCTATGATGCACAAACAGGTAAATACAGGTGGCTCCTTTCCTACAGAGTGTATTAGCTCAGCAGCGTAAGCCGCTTCCCCTAATGCTATACCGTCTCTCAAAGTGTGACTTTCACACCTGAATAACCACACAAAGTTACTGACATTCAATTGCCCATTCCCTTTTACTGTCTCCCCAGCAAGTCCTCATGTGGACACTTTCAACTTGTACTGAAGACCCGACTCTCCCTTCAAAACACGGCCAGCCACCCATGGCAGGGAGCCCTGCCAGTGCAGTGCTGCAGGGGCTCGGCTCCTCTGCTTCCTGTGTGCACGGGTCTGAGATGCATCCATGCTATCACTGGCTAGTGGCTGTACCTTGTCCCTCTTCATTACAGTTTGAGAATCGCTTGTCCATTCTGTTGCTCGTGGATGTTAGGAGGTCTACTCAATTCTCCTTCCTGGCATGGGCTGTTATTAATAGTATTTTGAATAATCTCTAGAAACAGCGTATGTTCTTTTCAGTATTAGAGTTTGTACTCAGTACTGAGTTCACACTTGCTAACAGGTGCTCTACCACTTGAGTCATGCCCAGTTCTTTTTTGTTTTAGGTATTTTTCAGATAGGGTCTCATGTTTTTGCCCAGGTCTGGTCTTGGACTGCAATCCTACCTACACCTGCTACACAGCTAGGATTATAGTCACGTACTACCACACTCAGCTTGTTTGATGAGATAGGGTCTCACTAATTGTTTTTTGCCTAGGCTGGCCTCAAACCACAATCCTGCAGATCCCTGCCTCTCTAGTAAACCTGGGATTACAGGTATGATCAACCATCCCTGGCCAATAATGTATTTTTAAGGCTTTTAATACAACAAATTCCTTTTAAGAAAGTTCAAAGTATGGATGGAATTGGAGAACATCATTCTGAGTGAGGTTAGCCTGGCTCAAAAGACCAAAAATCGTATGTTCTCCCTCATATGTGGACATTAGATCAAGGGCAAACACAACAAGGGGATTGGACTATGAGCACATGATAAAAGCGAGAGCACACAAGGGAGGGGTGAGGATAGGTAAGACACCTAAAAAACTAGCTAGCATTTGTTGCCTTAATGCGAGAAACTAAAGCAGATACCTTAAAGCAACTGAGGCAATAGGAAAAGGGGACCAGGGAACTAGAGAAAAGGTTGAGATTAAAAAGAATTAACCTAGAAGGTAACACCCACGCACAGGAAATCAATGTGAGTCAATGCCCTGTATAGCTATCCTTATCTCAACCAGCAAAACCCTTGTTCCTTCCTATTATTGCTTATACCTCTCTACAACAAAATTAGAGATAAGGGCAAAATAGTTTCTGCTGGGTATTGAGGGGGAGCGGGAGGGGTGGAGTGGGTGGTAAGGGAGGGGGTGGGGGCAGGGGGGAGAAATAAACCAAGCCTTGTTGCACATATGAATATAAAAGAAAAATGAAAAAAAAAAAAAAAAAAAAGAAAGTTCAAAGTAATTGACATCCCTGAACACAGACCTCTGATTGTTCTTGGATAATAAACAGATTATGCATTTTATTTCCAAGCGAGTGAGGACTTCTGCACGTGTCATATTGCTTGTAATATGAAAAAATCCCCCAAACTGTTGCTGTTCTAAAAATGATACTCCAGTAAAGTACTCTAAGAACAAGTGGAAAAAAAAAAGTCCATACTTTGCACAAACATTCCTGGAGAGCACAGTTGTTGTTTACAGTTGTATAAAAACGGAAGCAACTCAAAGGGATTTAAAAAGCCAAGGGAATGAGAGCAGAATATTTCATAGTGGGATAGTCAGCATCCGTTTAGTGATATTTTTAAGTTTTAGTAACTTGTGGCCACACCTCAGAAGGCTCACCTGGTGCTAGGGACGGGGCTAGGACGTCGCCCTGGTGACGAGGGCGTGACTGAGGTCCTCCCCAGATGGCAAGACAACGCTTTAAAAACAGTCAACATATCTATCCTCAATCTGCCAGCTCCACACCTAGAACTTCGTATTAAATGAAACTTACAGATGAGCACACAGGCTCAGAAGGCCGAGATGTTGTGTTGTAGTCATTTCAACAACACACAAAAAAATGTCCAAAACCTGGGATCTGTTATTTTTTTTTTAAATATGTCAATAAAACAAAACGTAGTCATTAACAATAATAAGGTGTTACCCTCTGTTACTGTGGCTAACGCAAAGTGGCACAGCCATTTTGGAAGCTGGTCTGGCAGTCTTTGACCAAGCGCCTGTGCTCCTTGGTATTACCCAACAGATATTAAGCTAAGCCTGCACAAAGCCGCACAGAGCTTCCTGAGCTCTACTCGTAACTACTGAACACTGGGCACAGCCTTGCCGCTGAGCAGTGAGTGGGTATGCGATGTGGTGTGCACAGAGGAACAGTATTCAGTGACAAGAAGAAGTGTGCTCAAGTCCCCAAAGACACAGCGGCCTCACACGCTTGTTACTATGTGTGAAAAGGCTCATACTGTGTGACTGCTACTCTATGACCCTCCAGAAAAGGAGAAAACTACAGAAAAAAGAGCTGTGGCTTCCAGTAGTCCACGCAGTGGGAGAGGTGGAGGGCGGCACAGGTGGAGCACAGGTGGAGCACAGGACAGTCAGGGCAGGGTAACTCCGATTATGCGCCAGTGGTCAGCGCTGACATGATGCATCCGTGGACGCACAAAGACTGCAACACAACTAGGACTGGGGTCAAACATGTGTCAGTATTGTTCAACATGTGTGACAAACGCACCACGCCAATATGAGAGGTGATCGCAGAGGAAGCTGTGGGGATAAATGGCATCCTCCATACTTCCTGCTCCACTGTTCTATAATCCTAAAACTGCTAAAAAATGACTATGTATAAAAAGCAATTGTATGTGAATAAGGTGACATAGGCAACCATTAAAAAGAGAAAGTATCTGTTCCCTGGTTAAAATCATTATCTGAGCCAGACAGCAAAAGAGGACAAGGTCCTGTACACAGAATGGGGGCAGGGCTCGAGCGTAGAGGGCTGGCTGAGCAAGCACGAGCCCCTGAGCTCCAGTCTCAAATCCCAGGACGGGGTGGGGAAAGGCACGCACAGTTAAAGACTGAAGAGAATAAACAACACATTCATGTTCTGTATGAGTATGGGACTACAGGTCATTTTGAAGTATTTTTTGCTTATGTTCTTATTTTTGTAAGATTCACTCAATAAACAGTCCATTCCGGCTCTATGATAAAGTCTGTGTTAGGTGTTCATTTCACTTTTGTGAAATATGAACATCGATTATTGTAATGTACACACAGACACGTGAGATGCAGCCATGACTGACATGTGGCACTCTGTGGGGAGGACAGACCTTCACTCTGGGGCCCAATGCTGTGCATGCTGAATCCACGGACGCTTGTGGGTCCTCCAAGGTAAAACCTGCAGCAAAATGGCACATGTCAGAGGCTGGTCACTAGGTGGGACACTACATGACAGACAGCAAACCCACGTCTGGGTCTCGATTATTAACATCATTTTCACTCGTCAGGATTTACGAAAGGGTTAGGAAGACACACATAAGAGTCTGAATGGATTGACGGAGAGAACTCAGCTCAGAATTCCAAAGTGGACCTCCTCCAGGCTCACCCTGCAAAACTCAGTTAAAAAAGCAGGATACATGTTCTGTAATAGTATGATCCCAATATAACAGAAAGGAGGAAATCATGCCAGAAGGAAATAGACAAAAGTAGACCATTATTTTATTTTATTTTAGCTGGGGATGAAGCCCGGGCCCTCATGCACACAAGACACACACTTCACCACTAAGCTATGCTCCCAGCCCTACAGTGATTTTTAATTAGAAACAAAGTGGGTTCATAATTTGTTTAGGTTCATAGTTTTAAGTGGTAAAGCACAGGCAAAATATGTGCAAAGCCCTGGCCTCCACCTCTAGCACCACAACCACAACCAATCCCCTGGTGTCCTTAACAGACTGACCATCAACCCTTTTCCAGCTATATCTGAATGAAATGACAAGCATAGATTAAAAGTCATTGAAAAATAACTTCCAAGCTTCCTGGATTTCAATAACTCAATTTTACACCTTGATAGTTACTTAAAAAACTGAAATAAGGGAAGTAGTGTATGATCCCTCAGCGTGGCTTCCAGGGCAGCCATAGCCAGCTGCTGCCCTCAGAGCTGCTGCTGACCCACCAGGGCCGTGCTTAACTGGGCTGGAGGAACACTGCCTGCTGTTTCTCATTTTCCTGCAGAAGAACACCTCTGGAATTTATCGATTCGAACATAAACGCCCATGTTACGTATGACCATGAAATGCTCCCAGAGGACCACATGTTGAGTGCTTGGTTCCCAGCTGGTGGGGCTATCTGGGAGTTCTGGAAACTGTAGGGGTTCCAGCTGGAGGAAGCAGGTCACCAGGCACATAGCTTTGACAGTTATGGCTGGTCCCCAGTCCCTTCTCCTCTCTCTGCTTCCTGTACCCTCTAAGGTAACAGCCTCCTCCTCTACACGCTCTGGTGACCATGGGCTCAGAATGAACATAGTCAAGGGCTGTGGACTGAAACCTCTGAATCCATGAGCCAAATGAATCAACACTCCCTCTAGTTGTTTCTTTCTGTCAGACATCCTATTACAGCAACGTGCTGTTAATGTTTGGGACTTCTAAGTGAAGCTTTCCAGAATACTCTATTAGCAATAGTAACAATAAACAGCAAGCCCAACTCTTTTGAAAAACAAGATAAATCACACGTATTATTTTAAAGAATTCCAGTGCCCAGGAAGCACCTAACAAGTGACCCCTCTCCCCAACCTTCTGTTTCCCAGAGTGACCACTTGACACTGGTTGGGTGATGACTTCTCAGGCCCTCAGTGCTGCACTTTGCCCCTAATCAGAGAGATCACTCAGTATATTCCGATGTGGATTTTGTTGTTTGGTTTTTGCTTTTTGAGACAGGGTCTCACTATACAGCCTACGCTGGCCCTGAACACATGACCCTCCTGCCTCAGGATCCTAAGTAGCTGAGATTACAAAAGTGTCACCATGTCCTGCTCAACAATATTCTTTATAAGCCTATAATTAAGCCTGACTCAGACATTTAGAATTCTTGCTGAAAAAGAAAATAAACAGTCAGGCATGGTGGCTTGTGCCTGTCATCCCAGCTCTGTAGGAGGTATAAATAGATCTGGGTCCAGGAGGTACAGGGCAAGTGCTAGAGCACCTGCCTAGCTACAAGGACCTGAGTTCAAAAGAAGAAAAAGAAGCATATGACAGAGAACAAATTATTTACAAAGTTATTCTTCATTAATATTTATAAAAATCCTAAAATTAGAAATAACTGAAAGCTGAGGCAGAGTGAAAAGTTACTGTATACTCAAGTAATGACACATTGTATGCCCTTAAAATGCTACTTAAGAAGAACTCCTGGCACAGTGGCTCAAGTGGCAGAGTAGCTGTCTACCAAGCACGAGGCCCCGAGTTCAAACTGCAATAGTGCAAGAAAAAAAAAAAAAAACAGAATTCCTCATGACGTGGTGAATGATTACTCTGTAGTTTCTGAAAATCTTTTTAAGAAGCAAGGAGGATACAGAGCTGTATGTAAAATACAGTATCTTAACAACTTAATATGCACACACAAACATACATCCACAATAAGCAGACTCAAAGGACCTTGTCTCAGATGTTAACTCTACTTGTCACTAACTAGGATTGAGCTTTTTTACTTTCTTAAATATTTCTCGACTTCTCCATTTTTGAAACAAGTATGAACTACATTCTTTCATAATCAAAAAAGAAAACAACTTTTAAAAAACCATAAAACAAAACAGCAAAAACGCAAAAAGATACTAAGTATAGTGTGTTCTGGGCATTTCAAAATTGGCTTCAAGGTAAAAACTAAGGTGCAATATGAAATACTGCTCTCTTCAAAAAGAAAACTCCTCTGAAGTATCTTGCACGAAACCAACCAAAAAGATCAAAGGAATACATGAGAAACTGTCCCCTCACTGAGGATCACTTACCTATCGGCAATACTCGATGGTTTATCACCAATGGGCACCAACATTCCACCCCAGAGAGATGCTGAGAAGACCTGTGCAAACAGAGGCAGACAGCTGTTCCATCCAGTGTCTTTCATCCCCGTGGACATCAGCAGACAGAGGTTGGACCAGCCTCTATGCCTATGGGCTCTACAATGGGGACAGGGGCAACTGCCTGGCTGCAAGGGTGAAGAACTCATTCAAAGTCAACTTCAAATTCTAAGTGTAGCCCACTGAAGTCTGGCAGGGCTTGGCTCCCATTCTGCCCCAGAAGATTCCCCTTCTGCCATGAGAAGCAATGCCCAGCAAGACAAGCCAGGCTGGGTAGATGAGGGAGATCAAGGCCCTGGACAAGTGATCTGCTCAGGCCTCTGACTGGGCCTCAAGATGTGGGGGATTGGGGCACACAGCATCTTAGGCTGGAAGATGGTCCAGGCTGCAGTGCTCCTAAAATTACATAATATGGAGATACCTCCAACCTACCTCAAGGATTGCTCTATGCCAGATCAGGGGCAATGGCTAGGCTGAGCTCAGGGGCCCAATCTTTACAGCACTTAACCCATCCATCAGCAGGCCTACTCAGCAATGCTTCCAACCACAAGGTTCTCTGGCTGGTCTACCCCATGCCTTCCTAGCATCAAACTGTGCAGGCCCCACACCCCTACTCATCTCGTGTCCTTGCAAGTTCCTGCCCTTCACAGCTGCTCAGCTATTTATTTTTATATTTTAGAAGTGGGGCTGAGCGCCAGAGGCTCACACCTGAGAGCTACTTGGGAGGCTGAGGTCAGGAGAATCATGGTTTAAGGCCAACCCTAGCAAACAGTTTGAAAGACCCCATCTCCAAAATAACCAGAGCAAAACGGACTGGAGGTGTGGCTCAAGTGGTAGAGTGCCTGCTTTGCAAGCATGAAGTCCAGTGCCATTAAAAAAAAAAAAAAAAAAAAAGCTGTAGTGGAAAGGATTACAGGTGGTAAGTGGTGCAGAGTGTGGATGGAGCAGGCCCCATGGAACACAGATGGTTCCTGAGGACAGGAGCCAAGGGTGCAACAAGACTGCTTGACTTTCTGAGGAGCATGGCAGTACTGAACAAATCACAAGAGACACAGAACACGCTACCATGAGCCAGGCTTTGCCTTGGCTGACTGCACAGCAGGGGACAGTAGGAGTGTTCTAGCAATTTTAAGTTGGGCCAGGCTGACCTATGACATTCGGTTGCATTGAGGAATTTTCACCTTAGGCTAGGTTCCTCAGGACGTGAGCCTATCATACACTGAGGAGCATCTGAATTCTGCTCTGTGACACTCAACTGTTTGTTGGAAACCCCTCCCCTGAGCCGGGCAGCCTGAGATACTGCAGAGTAAAGCAAGGCCCTTTACACAGAATGCTCAAAGATGGGCCCCACCAACCCTGATGCCACTTCAGACAGGAGCAAAGATAGGACTGCAGAACAGGCTCGCCTGTGGTGGACAACACAGCTTGGCTTTGAGACCTGGTCAGGGCCCACAGGTGGCATGCTTAGTGAGACAGCCTGGAGGCTAAGACACCACCAGGCGAAAGTCTCCTAGAAGAAAGAGGCGTACGTCACCCTTAACCACTGCCAGCCCAAGAGAGCACCAGACAGGAAGCTACAGGTGGCTCTTATCAAATTCTCTGCAGAAAGCACCAAAACACCATCTACCTCACCTGCATTGACTTTAGAAACTAGAGAGCCCAAGGCTCACCAACCACAGCTACCTTTACAATCCACTCCCTTAGGTCCCGTCCCCTCATCATTGATTGCAGTAAGGCCTACACACCCACCTCCATGGCCTCCTCCTCCTCCTCCTCTGTCCCTGCCCTTCTGAACTGTAATTCCAAGGCCCATTTTAGAACCTGCAGACTTGCCCTCACCTCCACCTGTGTCTCACCCTGCAAGACTCCAGCCAGGCAAACCTCAGCTCTGGCTCCTTCTCGGCCACACCTGTTTGGGTGTGGGAAGTGGGGGAGAACACACCATGGTGGTGCAAACAGTGGGCATGGGGCTCACGTTCAACCTGACTCTCAATCCCAGCAGGCCCTCAAGCTGCCCCTGCGTCCCTCTTGCTCTATTTACGCAGGTGCCGATTCCACAGGTGGTCCTCCCTTGTCCACCTCCAACACCTGAGACACTCACCGGCCCATTCTACCTCCTGCCTGGCTCTGTACCTGCTCCCCCTCCTCACAGGCATTGCTTTTGCTTTCCCTTTATGCAGCATTCCCACTAGCAGGCAGACAAGGTCACAGCCACCGCCTTTCCAAGAAGCAAACCAGCCAAACCCTTCCCCTCCCTACTCTGCCCATCCTCCCCCATTTCTCTGCTCCTCAAAGGAGCTGGTTTGTCATTTCTGTCTTCAATCTTCTGTTCCCTTCTCTTTTTATTTTGTAGTGGCACAACTGACCTGTGTCCTACTGTGCTTCCCCAGCCTCCCTCACCACTGTGCATAGCCAGCTGGTTCTTACTAACTGCTGAACTGTAATGTCAGCTAGAAGCCACCAGCTCGTTGTTGATGTTCCTTCTCCTCCAAGAGTCAACAGGGCACACTGCACTGAGCCATCCCCTCTAGTGACTTCCTACCCCTGAACAGCTGCCGCCCCACTCCTGCCCTCCCCTGCTGCCTCTCTTCTGCCCACTTGACCCACCACTCCTTCTTCACCCTCTCTATCTCCCCCTTCCCTCCTCTCCCACATTTTCTAGCCTCATCTTCTAACCTCTAGCTGTTGGCACATCCCAAAGCCCAGCCCTGTGTCTGCCTCTTTCTCCTACACAGGAGTTCCACAACTCCAGACTGAGCCTTACCTCCCCACTCACCACCTCCCAACAACACATTCAAAGCCAGCACCAGCCTGGCCCCTCAACCCTGCCTCCTCCCTACCTCTTCCAGCTGCCACCCACTGTAAGGGGCACCCTACATTAGATGCTCAAGCCTCACATCTCGGTGCTCCTCACATCCATATATTGGCTTCAGCTTGGCCCTCACTCTCAGTGAAATCTCTGGCACATGTGCTGTTTGTCCACTGCCAGCCTGCAGCAGCCTGCAGCACCCACCCTCACCTGCCACTCCTCCAACACCTGCTTGTTCCACAAGCTACTTGTCTAGAGTGAAGGGAGAGCCCTGGCCTCCAAGGCCCCTTGTCAACTGGCCCCAGCCCCACACTGCCTCATGGATGCCCTCCTGTTCCTCATTCTGCTCCAGTGAGTCACAATAGCCTTTGGCAGGTCCTGCAACATATGCCTATGCTCTGCCCCACAGATGCCCTGGCTGTGCTCAGATGAAGCCTCTTGGTTCTCTCTTTATTCTGCTCTATATTCCTTGGTCTCACTCATCACACCTGTAATGACGTGAGTGAATCTGCCTGTAGATCTCCCTTCTCAAGAATGTAAGTCCCTTGAGAACAGGCACCATGTTGACTTCCTGTTGTGTACAGTGCCTGGATGGTGCATGGCAGCCAACACCTATCTGGGGCAGGTTGGAGGTGGGGTGAGTAGGCAGAGGGCTGGATGGGTGGGGAGTGGACAGATAGATGCTACCATGAGATAGGCACAGTGCAGCCTTTCACCCCATCTTCACCAGTGAGTCAAAGAAGACTGGCAGGAAACATGCCTGTGTCCAAATCCTAAAAACCGGGAGTAAGAGGCTAAGTGAACAGCTGAGGAAAGGGAGCTGTAGGCAGCAGAATACAGAGTGAGGATAAGACCTGCAAGAAAAGCCCAAGCCTTTGTGGTAGAAAACCACAGCATTGAGTTAAGGGCCACAAGAAGCAAGCACTACAGCAGGAGTGCACTTCAGAAAGACCAACAGGACCCCAGTTGGGGAAGAAAGAGGCATAGAGCCGACTCAGGGCACTGAGTGAAAAGTGGGGAGATGGGGCTGGAGCTCTGGGGGTGGCTTTGAGGGTAAACACCTAGAGCAGCACGGGGGACAGTCAAGGGTTGCCAGGCCAGCGCTGTACAAGTCTGGGAGCAGGAGCACAGACTTCAGCAGAAAAGGTCACTTACTTGGATTTTTTGTTGTTGTTTTGGTTTTGGTTTTGTGTTTTGAGACAGGGTCTCGCCATGTAATCCTCCTGCCTCAGCCTCTGGAGTGTTGGAATTATAGGTGTGGCCACCATGCCTGGCACCAGTTGAGTTTTAAACCCTGGAGGTATCTTTCAGCTCTTCAGTTTAAGGTATTCTAGCTCTGGGTTCTCCAAGTGCTCTGGGATTCAGGAACTAAAATTTCTGAGTAAGATTTCAAACCAAATTCCTGTGCAGGTGACAGTGCCTTGGTTTAGTACTCACTGAGTCTAGCATGAGTGGCTTATTCAGCTGGAGCTCAAAGTCTTCTTTTAGGAAGCTCACATCCCCTCCAGTGTAGCCTGCCAGTTCCTGCAGAGAACAACCACAGGTCACATGGAGCAAGCAAACTTAGGGGTACTAAGTCTTATTTTTGCAATTCGTTTATTTTTGCTATTTTCTATTTTCTATTTTCTAGAAGGCAAAAGAAAATTCTGTCTATATCCTAACTGCTGCAGATAGTGAGAAGGGATGGACAGAGATGGAGAACCATGGAGCTTGGTTGTTTCATCAGTATTTGGAAAATGTCAGCCAACTTTTCCCAGTGTGGAATATCTTACACTAAAATCTGAATTTTAGCTGCTTCTCGGAAACTGAAGATCCAGCTCCTGTCCCACACAACCACCATCCCCAGGACAGCACTCAGGGGAGCCCTCATAGTTCATCACAGCCTGCTTGTCTCTGTGCTCTTTACCTCACAGTGAGGAACTAAGTCTGTAAATGCCTCCAGAAGAAGTAAAGTCTAGACAACTAAAAGTGTTTCCAAGCCATTGGAGGAGGACGTAAGGCTGTCAACACAGCTCCTCCACTGGCACCAGGTCCACACCGCACATCCCTCACTGCCAGGTCAGCCCCATGTGGGTTCCCATCCCAGTCTGCAGCTCCTTCTTCAACATTCCTCCTGGCCTGTTATGTGACACCACTAAAGATGCCACCACCTTATTCACACTCTGGGTTCTGAGGAGTCACAAGACTGAACTGCAGAGACTAAGGGCTAGAAGTCCTGAGAGTGGAGATGACCATCTTGCAAGCAATTCTAGAATGATCTTTCTTTTTTCTTTCTGCAGTTCTGAGGATTAAACCCAAGGCCTTCTTCAGACATCCTAGGCAAGCACTCTACTACTGAGCTACAACTTCATCCTTTAGGATGACTAATTAAAGGAAAAGCTGAATATTAAACATATATATTCTCTATGTGGTCCCCCACCCCCTACAGATGCCCACCTGCCAAGACTTCGCTGGCTCCCCAAACCCCACGGAGGTCAGTGGAAGAACGCTACCTGGTTAACCTTCAGCAAGGCCCCTCTTCTTGGTAAGATGGATGAGTTCCGAGAGTCGATGACCATAGCATGCTGAAAGAAACTTGGGTGTGTTCATGTCAAGCAGATGGACACAGTAACAACGAGCTTTGCTGAGCTCCGACTGTCTGCTAGGCCTGTGCTAGGTATATTGCCTGGCTCCAGCGCTTCACCTCTACTCAGCCCCAGAAAGAAGTCCAATCCAACATGGAACTTCAACTGAGCCAATGCTCCTGGGAGTTTGCTGCTGACTACTAGGGCACCTGGCTTTAAGTCAACTCACCAGCTTTCTAATGACTTCTGGAAGCTAAAATTCCATGGCCAATTCTTAAACATACCTCTCCCCAGCACCACCAATGTAACTTAGAAAAAATAACATAAGGCAGTGGACAGTGAGTCATAGAGAGTCAGGGGCCACCATGGCAGCCCACCCAATCTCTGTGATACTCTCAGTCACCCCAGACGGTGGAGACTGCATTCCCAGGGAGCAACATGGCTCTGGACAAACTTCATCATTTCCTCAAAGAACAAAACCTTACCGAAAGAGAGGATTTCAGTGAGTGTCCACTTTCTTTCCGCACAGCAAAGGAAGCAGTCCTGGAGAGGCAGCCGAGTTCCCGCCACACTCCCTCCCACTTGACAGTGTGGCTGGTCTTCCATATGGGAAACTGCGGGCACATGGCAGGAGTGAGGCATCTTTCTACACAGTGCACACTAGGGCAAGTGGGTGCAAATTATTTTGTGGGAGGCCTTACTAAGTCATTAACTAATGAGCAAGGTAAAAGTTTTTAGATGAAGGGAAGAAGGAAGTAGGGAGCAGAGGAGGATGCACAGAGTAAGCAAGGGGAAAGCTGTGAACCAACCCAAAGGAGCAGCCGCTGGTCTGAAAGCTCAAGGCAGCTCTGTAACTAGCAGGAACCTGTCTTCTCTATGTCTGCACAGAGCAAGACACACAGATGATGCCATTCACACCCACTCAACCCATATAACCCTGTCACCTGGTGCTCTGGCAGGTATCAACCCCAAAGAATAAGAAGACTAAGTCACATGGAAGCTGGGTGCATCCTTCCTGCAGCCAGAAGCTTGGAGCAAGCAAATCCTGACTCCAGGCAAGGACCTGCTTCTCAGTCTGACACTGCTGGCAAAGCCAGGTAGGTCAGTGTGTCCTAGACTTAATCCATCTCAGAGAATTGCCCACATCCCCTCTGAACAGTGCACACACTGACTTGACTCTCAGAAGGAAACAGGTTACCCTGAACTCCCCAGAGCACAGCCCACACCGGGCATTCTGCAGCCCTCTCTCCTTTGGGTGGGAAGGCACCAATGCAGACCAGAACACACCATCAACTTGCAAGGTGAGGCCCAGGGTGCTCACTTTGGTGCCCATCAGGCACTGTGTAGACCTGAGGAGCCTGGAGATGGAATGGCATGAGAGATGGCTGGCCGTGGCTCAGCCACCATTTCTGCACAGAGGACCTGAGACTCAGGTCAGTTCCCAAATACCCACAAGAGGTGGAGTTTCTTAGTCACCTTCACTCTTTATACACAACACAGCTCTAACAAGAAAAATTTGTTCAGAGGAGACACACTGGAGGCTCTGCAGTCAATGTTAGGACTTGCAGGTAGACAGTGCCACCTCACAGGGCAAAGAACCCCTTGGTGTGGCCTGAGGACACAGCAGTGCACTCAGTACAGCCCATTCCCCAGGATCTCAGCTCCCCTCACTTGGGGCTGCCAGTTCCAAGCCCCTACCCTTCTGGGTCCCTGTCCATCTTCACCTCCACCCCACAGTCAGTCATTCCATATTTCTGTGCCTTCCTTCCTGTTGTCCATGTGGAAAAGCAAAGTGTTCTGACTTTTCTAGGACTCTGCTCTTTTAAAAGGCTTAGGAAAAAGAGATGAGGGAGCATGAGGAAGGAAACTCCAGGTGCAGAGAACGTGGAGAAAATGCTCATGGGTGCTCATGTCTACACCCTGAGCCTGCAGACCACCTAGTCCACGTCAGCAAGCTCCAAGTTTCATGGCCTGTCTGCAAGCACCAGTCATGTGTGGCTAATTCATCCTGAGTGCTTTAGTGAGCTCAGAGTCAGGAGTTTAACCTGCACTCTCATCTACTCTTCCCAGCAGCCCTGTACAGGGGATGGGACACGCACTGTCATTTCCTTCTTTTCACAGATGGTGACTTTGCCTGAGGTCACACACTATTATTAGGTGCCCCAGACCAGTCAGGTATAGGGGTCTACCTTCAGGGCCTCTGCAGGGTTCTCTGGAGAAAGTACAAAGAGCTTCCAGACCTGTTGCCAGAATTCTGATTGTACAGTTTGAGGCAGGGCCTGTGGCTCTGCATTTCTAACAAGCCCCCAGGTGAGGCTGGCGCTGCAGTGTGAGGACTCCACTTTGGAAATACTCCTTACAACACTATGTCTCATGGGGTAACGAAGGAAAAGTGGAAAAAGAAAGGAAAAAAAGGAGCAGGTCCTCATAAAGCTAAAACAATGGTCAAATGATATTAATTCCTTTTGTCATACTGAGTCACATCCTTCAAGACCTTAGTGCGAACCAATAATGGAACCTTCCAGCAATATATAGTGAGTACGCTGGCTATCAGAAACTATTGCTCTTAACACACACAGGGAGACAAACCTTAGCCCAGGCAGTCAGGAGGACTGAAGGCATGTGAACGACTGACTGAACTCTAGCTGCCTGCATCAGCTAAAGAGGCCTCTGGCCAGGGGCAGCCGCTGGGCAAGCGAAGGACCTGCATGCTTACCTGTCTCCCCCTGTTGCCTTCAGACTCAATGAGAAAAGACAACTGTCCCACCCACGTGTGCTGGGGACCCAGGGAAGGACTCACGCAGTACTCGGCAGACACTCCTCGGTCTGTCTCCCGCAGTGAGCTCCACGGAAACTGTCCGGTGACTTTGTACAAGTTCACAGAGAGACTAGGAGACAATGGGACACAGCTTTAAGAGCCAAGCCAGGGCTGGAACTCACACACCTCAGTGACAGCTTAGTGCTACACTGGGGCATCCGTACGCGGACTACCACGTGCAGAAGGGGCAGGTGACTGTCGCTTGCCATCTACTTTAACTTAAACCAGGCCACTGAACACAAGGGTCTGTTTGGCTTCCTACTTTCTCTTGAAGTTTCCAGGCTGTGGCTTGAAGAAGGACAGGCCATAAGAAGTTTCTTTTGTTCCATAAGAAAACTGAAAAGTCACTTTTTCTGCACGTCCTAGAAGATTAGGGAGTTTGAGGCCAAGTACCTACAATGGAAAAAAGCAGTGGTTAAAATGAAAGGAAAGATAACTTTTAATAAAGACTAAAGCAACACACAGACTGTCATAAAAACAGAACACCAGCACAGACCAGAAATGGCCTTGGTTTGCAATGGCTTTTATTCTTTTCAATGTGCTTTGCTGAGCACCCAGCATCTCACATGCGACCTGATCCATGGAGAACAGGCTAGACCTGCCTCCTGTGAAGCTTGAGGACAGAACTGCCCAGGAGTGGAGTGGAAAGGAATCTGAACAGGGACCATCAGTACAAATAATTTCAAAATATTCCTCGTTACTGATGTCAAATGATCCTACTAAACAGTCTAATCAGACCAAGTACATGCGATGAGAAAGTTGCAAAGCTCTCAGCAGCTTTCAGAATGCAGTCATGTTTGAAAAGCTCAGACTTCTAACTGGCAATACAAGGAAAGGTGAGTCCAGCATACCATGCTGCCTTCATTGTTTCCAACCATGGTGTTGTAACTGCCTGTTAATCTCCTCAGCTCAGTCACCTCAAAGGTAACGTCCAGCCCATTTGGAAGTGCATCATCACCTGAGGAAATGAAAAATAGTACACAATAAGGCTGCCAGTATGTCCTTTATTGTGGTCCTTCTGCTAAAAAGACAAAAGCAGTCTGAAGGTTCATGGTTATCTCCTCTGGAGATTACACTATCTACTTTTAATGACACCACTTATGCAAAATCCAAATTCACCTCTCCACCACCAACAGTCGACCGTGGCTACAGAAGACAACAATATACAGCATTATTTTCACAAGCAAGTACTACGTGCTAAAGCAATTTGTTCTCCCACGAGGTCCTTGAAAATGTTTGGAGTCATGATTCAACTGATATTAAAACATGGGATTCATGACAATAAGGATTTTATTAAAAATCATAAACATGAGATTGCTTATTAAATGATTGATGCAAGAACTCATCTCTCACCCAGCCAGGGTCTGAGCAGTGTTGAACTGGGTTGCTACCTCATGCCCACCGAGGCCCAGGGTACCACCTGCACAGGGAGGCCAACCTCTGCAGGAACATGTGCTCACCCCGCTGGACATCTGGGCAGCCATCAGGACTTATCGATGCCCAGGCACTGGCTCCCATAAGCTCAGTCAGGAGGGCAAGGGTGGTGTCTTGGGTCCCATCTACTTTTTTAATGAATAGACTTCATTTTTCAGAGCCAATTTAGGTGTACAGAGATAGAGCAGAAAGCCCAAAGTATTCCCACAAACTTCTCACTACCCTAACACACACTCTCCAATATTCACACCTCACATCTATGTGGCACATTCGCCACACTCACACCCATTATTACCTCAGCCTCTAGTTAACATCGGGCTCACGCTTGGCATTGCACATTCTTTGGGTTTGAAAATATATAATGACATTTTTGCACCATTACCATATCACACAGTATAGTTTTACTGCCCCAAACAGGTCTAAGTTCCCAGGTAATTCGACCATGCAGCCAGAGTGGAGAACCACTGACAGAGGCTGCAGACCAGAACAAGGTCATATTTGTAACAGGAGAGGAGAGCACTAAAAGCAAGTGTCAACAAAGCCTGCATGCTGAAGAGCACCCCGGTGGCAGGTCAGCCTTGGCACTGGGACTGCATCACTGGCTTGTTGGACCCAGGGCAAGTTATTTAAACCTCTCGGAGCCTGTCTCATAAGCTAAAATACACCAAGGAAAATAGCAGGTGACCCGCTCTCAGGTTCTTGTGTGGACTGTATGGCATGTATGTGTGAACACCGCAGGGTCTCCAGGCCTTCTCATTCCTGTCATGGATGCACAGAGCTCTTTTCTCCCCTCTGACTAGTCCAGTGGTCCCTAGACTTAAACCATGTTTCACAGTTTTCACAGCCCCTGCAAGGTCATGCCACAGATCTGGGAACCCACTGCATTCTTGCTGCAATGGAACCTGCATTTCTAATGAGTTGCCAGGTGTGGGGAGTGGATTATGAGATGCCTATGAGAATCTGACATAAGCACAGTTATGCTCAATGAGCTACAGGCTGAGTTTGGCACGGCCCCAGCCCAGAAGAGAGTGAAGGCAAAATGCAGCACATCTGCTTTTCCTAAGTTGTTTATGTTCAGAGAAGTAGAGAGCAGATTTTTCTTGTTACAATGTCACACCCCCTCCCCAGGAACTGTTGCTCCACCTCCTTGTTTACCACTGAATATAAAAGATTCCCTGAAGGAGGATGGGGGATTTTAATTGATTGATTGGCTGGCTGTGGGCTGCTTGGAAGCCGCTGCCACTGCTGCTGGCTGTGTGGGTCTCCACCAGAGCAGCTTTCTGCACTGAGAACTTTATACATAGGCTTTAGAAAAGCTATGCTTAAGAAAACGTAGGACAGACCAAGTCTAAGGACCAAGACTTTAAGAGAGATTAAAGAAATCATGGGACAGAGCAAGTCTAAGGAAAGGGACTTTAAAGAATAGAAAAGAAGAAAGACTTTAGAAGTAAAGTTTTAAAGAAAAAGAGAAAAGAGTTAATAGAGAAAAGAAGCAATGAGGGTGCTACGTGTCTCCATCTGAGCACCCAGCACACCTGGCCCCAGCTTGATGCATGTCTGTCTTCTATCGTTTGTTCTTTCTACATCTCCAGTCACCCCCAGTTAGGTCAGGAAGAACACAGCTTGTGAAAAAGTTTGCAACAGCCAGGTGTGAGTGCAGTTCTACGGGCCCAGGCTGCACTTTGAGGACAACCGTTTAATCACAATTGAACCTCACTTTTCAGCTGAGTATGTGGCCATGTGACTAAGTTCTGGCCGACGGCAGGAGAAAAGAGTGCAGTGTCCAGCTTGGGACAGGGGTTGTCCCTTCCCATGCTGGGCAATGACACAGTGCTTGGCCACTGGAGGAGCCAGGAAGTCACAACATCCTACCACCCTGGACAGTCCCCAGCTGTGTGGAGAGACAGAGACTCTTGTCTGAGCCACCGCTACGCTGGGGCTCTGTGGACTCCAGCTGAGCGCATTCTCCAGTGAATAAAATTGCCCTTGGTTTACAGAACTTTAGATTTTTGCTAGCATTTTCACACATCGTCTCATAATTTATGTTTTCTCAAAATTACCCCATTCTTGCCGGGCACCGGTAGCTCATGCCTATACTAGTGACTTGGGAGGCAGAGATCAGGAGGATCACGGTTTGAAGCCACCCTGAGTTTGTGAAACCCTATCTCAAAAATACACACATCACAAAAGGGAGAAAAAAAAAGGGGGAGGAGGCTGTTAGAGTGGCTCAAGGTGTAGGCCCTGAGTTCAAGCCTCAGTACCACAAATATATATGTATATATATATATATATACATATTCCCTACTTAATCATAAACAATTTACTAGTTCACTGATTTAGCCAAATACTTCTTTTCCAAATAACATCTGCTTCATTCAGAATAAAATCTAAACTGTACGATGACATATTAGGGTCCTCCACGATCTGGTCACCTGGTTACTTTGTCTTTTCTGTGGTTTTGTTTTTGTTTGCAATGCTAGGGATTGACCCCAGGGTTCCCTGCATGCTAATAAAACACTACCTGGAGTTACACCCCAGCCTCTCCTGATTACTCACCTGTCATCATGCTTATTCCCCCAAACCCACATTCCAGCTCTCCCATTCACTTGGATCCGCCAATGACCCATTTTCTCTCTGGCCACTTGGCCTGGAAATGCTCAACCTCACTGGTGTGCTGTTCATCCCTCCCTCACCACCAATCTTTCTCCCTAAACCAACTCACACGCATCTTTTAGCTCTCAGCTTGTACAGCCCCCTTCCAGGATGTCTTCTCTAATCCCTCCCACCCCAGCCAGGCCAGTTTCTTCCTTCAGCCTCTCCCCGCACAGCATGTTATCTATGCTGCCATCACTCCCTCATGTGGGCCCTCCCTGTCCCACCCCACAGAGCCCTCCAGGAGGACTGCTTGCCTTTTGCCCTCTCTACACAGGCCAGGCTCACAAGAGCCTCACTAGTAAGGGGTAAGTGCTCACTAAGTTCAGGGAAGAGCCACTTCCACATCAAACACTAGAAAACAAGCAAAACTAGGGCAGGTATAGGTACCCTCCTCCTTTAAAAGCATGTGTTTAGATGGGGTCAGCCTGAGCCCACTTAGGCAGCTGCTGGGCTGGAACAGGCAGAGAGAAACCTAGCTCTCTCCTTCAGAATCATTCTCAGAGCCCCGGTGTAGTTCAGGGTTGAGAAAATACTGTATCTTGGCAAGACATAAAAACCCAGCTCCTTCTGTGAGACAGACCACTACTTCCCAAGACTTCTCTGGGAAGCCTTCAGGAGCTACCTCTATCCAACCTCATCACTGTTCTGTGACCTGGGAGAGTCATGGAGACTCTACTCTCTGACATGTACCTTGACACGTATCAATCAAGACATCCACTTGTCTAAAAATTCCTAGATGAAGCAATTTTTCACGGGCTTCATGAGATTTCCGCATTACCTACAAGAAGAAAAGAAAACAGGATTAATTCTAAGATACAGAAACACTAAGGCTATGGGACCAGGCTAGTGCTTGACATCTGGCACTTAGTGATTGACCACTAAGAAGAGACACTACCAAGACCAGCCATGGTAAGAGCAGAAACAACACTGTAGGGCAACAAAAAACCCCGATTCAAAAGTGCCAGTCCCCCAAGGGCTCAGAGACCACACAGTATAACCTTGTGCCAAACAAAAAAACGAAAAGAGACACACACAGCACCACACTGGGATCACAATCAAGTGTGACTACGGTTTTCTTTGATGCAGGGAAGATGAGTAGGTGTGAGTCTTTTTGTGGTATTTCAATTTCCTAACAATTTCTAACACCATTTTCTCTCTTCATTGTAAACAATCCCTTCTGGTGCTTGGAGTCCATTCTTGTTGGAAGGATAAACAGAAGAGGGGCAAAGTGGGAAAAGTACCCAGGAGGCAGAGTAGAAAAAGATCTCGTGTGATAAACAAAGTATAGATTTCACCTGCAGGTGAAAGGGGGACTTTAGAATTCTCCAGAGGAGAGGCAGGATCAGATTTTCTAAGAGAAGTGCTGGTCATGGTCCCATGGATGAGTCCAGAGTCTTGTTCACAAGGAGACAGGGAAGCAGGAGAGTTCTTGAGGGATGGAAGCTGCCTCCAGGGACATCTCACCAGCAAGGAAAAGGCCACCCCTCACTGATTAGATGGAGCACATGAGGGCTGGGGTGTGGCAAGAACTTTAAGTGTGGTAACAACACCGTTCTGGGAAGCAGACCCTCGTGTGCTGCTGTGGCAATGTGCGGTGGTACATCTCTTTGGACAGGAATATGTTAAAAGTGACAAGCACACACCCTTAGACCTAGTAATCCCACTTCTAGGGACTTATCCTGTGGACAGTCATGTGTATACAAAGCTACATGAAGATGCTGGAGGCAGAATTAACCTAAATGTTCATCAGAAGGGAAGTGCTCTGAATAAATGATGCAAAGTCCCTACAGCAAGGCACCACGAAGCCAACACACTGGTGTGTGCTCACATCAAAAGGCAGTAACAAAAAGCAAAGGTGCAGAAACGTGAAGAATGGGGTTAGTGATTGCAGGCCACACACGTACTTCCCAGTAGCCTACGCACCTGGAGGATGCAGAAGAGCCTGACTGCCATGCCACAAAAATCTGCACGTTCATTTTTATGTTCTCTGTGCCATTTGAATTTCTATGCCTTCTTTATTTAACTGTGTTTATGTATTACCTTAATCTTTCTTTTTTTTTTGGCAGTAATGGAATTTGAACTCCAGGCCTCATTCTTGCTAGGCAGGCACTCTACCAACTGAACCATTCCTCCAGCCCTTTTGTGTTGGGTATTTTTGAGATAGGATCTTGCTTCTTCTTGCCCAGGCTGGTTTTAAACCCCAACCCCCCGATCTCTGCCTCCTGAATAGCTAGGATTACAGGCATAAGCCACCAATGCCTGGCTGTTACCTTAATCTTATTTTCTGAGTGGGGTGGGCTATAGTGCTAAACACTGCTCAAAGGCCAATAAGAGGCAAAGAGAAAGGAGCCAGCTGGACCTAGCCACAGGGACACTGTTGGTGTTCTCTGCCAGGCATGTCCACTGTGGTGTCAAGGGCAGAAGGAAGGAGGAGGGTACAGTGCAGGAAAGAGATGGCTGCATACAGCAAGGGCCCTGGGGAGACACCTCACCAGAAGTCAGCACTTCAGCTCCAATGCCGGGAGGGTTATGAAAAGCACAGGACAGATGGCCATAGACAGGGGGACAGACACTTCTTTCCCCAGCACAAGAGGTGGTAAGGACAAATGCAGCACACAAGTAAGCTAAGGGAGGCACACAGGAGCAAGGGTCCCTCTGGGGTGGGAGGCTAGGGACAGGGTGGAGATGGGGGCTTCAGAAGAAACTGGAAGAGAATGCCAGGCAGAAGCAGAGCTTACCTCAATGAGGTTTTTAGCCCTAAAAACCTCTCCGATCTCACAAATGATGATATCATCTTTAGTTCTCCCAAGTCCATCAAAATGGACATGCTGAACCACCACCTACACGAGACAAGAGAACACTGGCTATTACACAAGAAACTAGGTACCAAAACTAAAGACAAGAACCTGAAATTAACATCACGGTATTTTCCAGTTGTTGTAACCCACACTTTCTCACAGACTTCATTTTATTTTCCACCTTTTCAAAAACATGACCACTTAGACTTAACCTTTGCCGGTCTGCCTGTGATCTGGCCTCTCCATGCAGACAACTCAGGACGCCAGCCCCGCACCCAGGCCGTCTGCAAGGCCCCCACCCCTTCCGACACGCTTCCTGAGCACGGACCTGTGGCTCAGCCCTGAGGCCCCTTACTTCACAGCTGTGTGTATCCTGCTGAAGACCCCACAGGGATGACACACCCGCTCTCAGCTGCCTGGTGTCCTCACTGCAAAGTGAACTTTCTCTCTACTCAAGACTGTTATAGGTTAGTTCACCTCTCCCTAGAGGCTAGGAAGTGAATGTTCCTAGTAACAATCCAGTCAAGGCTTCAGCAGAAAACTCACATCTTTGTTTTCCAGAATTTCCTGTTTAGCTTCAGGTTCAACTTCAACAAATTCCGCTTCTTCTCCCAATGCTCCAAAGTCAGGCCCACTTGATGGCAGAGGCTCCAAACTCTGAAAGTGAGGGGAGCCACAGGTGAAGGAACTTGTATAACACGAGAGACAAACGCTGGTCTTTGACTCCAGCCTTCAGATGGCCTCCAGAAAGTCAGTGCAGTTCTTCCCTCTGATGGGGCAGCAGGGACAGGATGAACAAAAGGCATGTGTGACCTACTGTTTACATGCATGTTCTCAGGACCATGGTTAACACCCTGGTGTTCATTGGATTATTAGAAAATAAAGGTTAAAAATTTGCTGGGCACAGTGGCTCATGCCTGTAATCTCAGCTACTTGGAAGGTGATTTGCACTTGGAGGTCAGCTAGGGCAAAAAGTTCGAAAGACCCCCATCTCAACAACAAAACCCCTTGGACAAGGTGCCTCACACTTGTCATCCCAGCTACTTGGGAAGCGTAAGTAGGAGTACTGTGGGGCGAGACACTATCCCAAAAATAACCAAAGCAAAAGGGGCTGTGGGCATGGCTCAGGTGGCAGAGCGCCTGCCTAAGAAGCATGAGGCCCTGAGTTCAAACTCCAGTATCCAAAAAAAAAAACTTAACTAAAAGGGTCATATACAAATCCACAATGTGTCAAGGACTGGGGGTTATGACTAACCTAAATCTTATTACCTGAGGCCCATTTGAAGGGAAAAAAGTTTTAAAAAAAAATAAGATGCCACAAAGACATCAGGGAAAAGAAAAAAAAAAAGCTTGCTTTCTGTTGTTTTGGAAAATAGCTTTTTTGTTGTTGTTGTTGGGACTGGGGTTTGAACGCAGGACTTTGTGCTTGCAAAGCAGATGCTCTACTGCTTGAGTCACATCTCCAGTCCATTTTGCTCTGGTTATTTGGAGACGGGGTGGGGGGGGGGTCTCCTGAACTATTTGCCTGGTCTGGCCTCGAACCATGAACCTCTGGATCTCGCCTCCCAAGTAGCTAGAATTACAGGCACGAGCCATCAGCACCTGGCTTGTTATGGAAAATACCTTAATTGTCAGAATCAAAACTGCATATTCTCTAGGATGGATACACTGACAATCAAATTACTAAGGCAGCATTTTGTTTGGACCCAAACAGATTTTTGTCATTGTAGGAAGTCTCATTCATTGAACTTTGCATATTCAAACAATAGGCCAGAGAACAGTTACTTTCTTCCATCTGAACTGTCACTACCTCAAAACAGGGGAGCATCTCCACAATAAGCATTTCGGCCCGGGAAGACATAATTTACATAAAACACGCTGATAATGCTCCATATTATGTTCATGTAGTGTACAACACGTAACGGCATGCTTTTCAACCACCGATTTGCTCCTCTGTGCATTGGCTGTTGGTCACTGGGACACCTGCCTCACGGCAGGGGCTCCCAGGCACCTTGGAGGAGGACTGAGAGGGACAGTCAGGGGAGCATTACCATGGCAAGTATGGGGAGAATGGGTACCTCCTTCTCTAGTTCTCTCCAGTCAGCACCTCTGAAGTACCCAGAAGTGTTGACATGGACGTCTGCAAAGCAATGGGGACCCTGGGGCCACCTGGAAACTCAGAGGTCTCCTGTCAGTGCACCCCGCACTATCACTGGCTCTCTGGAAAGCTAAGTAGCCTGACAGTATAATAAAGCCTTTCCACACCTGCCCCAAACCATGCTGCCACTGCTGAACCATACACACAGGAAGAGAAACCACTGACTCCCTAGCGGAACCCACAGTAGGGCCACCACGAAGCATGTCTGCTACTTGGGTTTCCATCTCTACCACCAGGGCTACCCTCACGTTCAGGTTTTTGTCACCCTGCTCCCTCTACCAGGGTAATCCACCCATTGCAGCTTAAAGATCCACCTTAAATGTCACCTCTGTGCACCATTTCTAGCTTCTTCTAGCAGAATCAGTCCCTCCTTCATAGGACGTCTCTTGACGTTAGCAATCTGTGAATGAGCTTGACACACAGGTACACAGATATCCTCTTCTTTCCCATATTTTTATCTACCCAGGCGTATCAGAAACACTCAACAGGCAGGTATGGTAGTGCATATCTGTAATCCCAGTACTCAGGAGGCAGAAGCAGGATTGGGAGCTCAAGGCCAGCCTCAGATATTTAGCAAGACCCTGTCTCGAACAAACAAAAACTTGAAGGGAAAAAAACAAAAAGCAAGAAATGCTCAATAATTATTTGTGGGATGGTGAGTGAACGGATTTTCATTTGGTCTCTCAGCTAACAAATGTGTGCCAAGTGCTTACTGAAGGCTAAGCGTCTGCAGGGGCCACCACGTCCCTGCAGGGAAGGCTGAACTTTATATAAGGAAAAGAAAAACGACGATGATGAACAAAGAACATATAATTCCATGTCATTTTCTTCCCATTACTCATTTCTTAAAAACATGAGCAAATTAAGAATGCACGCACATAGGGCTGAGGATGTAGAACTCAGGCCTAGCAAGCCCAAGGCCCCAAGTTCCATTCTCAGCAGTGCCAAAAAAAAAAGAAAGGAAAGAGAATACATGTGTACACAGTCATTCTTAATCTGAATGCTTAGCAAACACGCTTTGTCTGCGCACAAAGTCTACAATCCACTATGCTAAAAAATTCCTTTACAAACCCTGAAAAGGTCAAAGCATGAAACAAGGTTCACCAAAGACCTGTCAGACCCATGCGATCCTTCAGTCTGGAATGCAGACATTAAGTTCAAGACACAAGGTCCTTGCAGCTTCTCAGTTCTATCAAAGCTTGATGTCCTAAATTACCAAGCAACTTGGGTGGGTGGGTGGGTGTGGTGTGTGTGTGTGTGTGTGTGTGTGTGTTTTTTACTGGAGTTTGAACCCAGAACCTACACCTTAAGTCACTCCACTAGCCCTTTGCTGTCAAGGGGTTTTTTTCGAGATAGGGTCTCACACACTATTTGCCAGGGCTGGCTTGGAACCGTGATCCTCCTGATCTCTGCCTCCTGCAGCTAGGATTACAGGCGTGAACCACCTACACAGTGCTCATGTGAAGCAACGTGAACTAACTACTAAAAGATGGCACTATTTTGCCAGCTAAAACTGGGTATGGCTGGAGGCATGGCTCAAGTGCAAAATCCAAGTTCAAACTCCATAACTGCCAAAATAAACAAACAAACAAACAAACAAATAAGTAAATCTGGATGTGAAATTCAGCGATAGAAAGGGAAATGGATGCAACAGCACAGCCCAAAGGTCGTGTCAGCAGAGCCTTGGTGACCGGATTGAAGGACAGTTACGAGGGGAGTTAAGGTCATTTCTGGGAGCCAGGCTCAGATGCCTGTCCTAAGTTCTTCAGGGCATTAATGAGCAACTACTGAAAACTTCTCAGCAGGGCAGGTGGAACAATCCACATCACAGTAGAAGGCCGTGTTGGGGCCGGGGCTCCTGAAGTAACATAATCATTACAAACAGGATGTCTGGCAGTCAGTACACTCCAAGCTCCCAAGTAAGTCTAGCTCAATAAAAGTGATGGGGGGGGGTGCGTTAGTGTGCACTGAGCTCCAGCAGTGGACCCCACCGTTCAAACCAAAGTGGACTTGTCACTCGTGCTGAAGTTCCATGTCCCCCAGAAGAAATTAAGCGGGCGATCTGAGTTAATTTAAGTTGTCTATCAAGGCGCAGAGGGCAGGGGGATAAGATTTTGCTTTGTTTTTTGAGGTAGGGTCTCACTCTGCAGCTCAGGCTGGCCTCGAACTCGCGACCCTCCTGCCTCTGCCTCCCAAGCGCTGGGATGACGAGTGTGTGCCACCCCCCTGGCTTCAAACAAACCTCTTCAGACTGGCAGGGTAAGTCCCCTGTGCCTTAATCTTTACAAAGGAAGTAACTTCCCTCCTTTTTTTAAACCAGACTTTTTTAACGCCCTCATCTGTCTATAAAGCCAGCTCCTCTGCTCACTCATGGGGGCGCCCACCGTTTTATGAAACGGGGTTGTTCCCAAGTTCCAGACAGCAAATGGAAGCCAACCACGAGCGCTCAACTGCCACGGCTGCGCTCTTGTCTCCGACAGCCCCGTGGGACAGGTGTGCAGAACAGCGGGCAAAGTTCCACAGTCCCCCTAGGGACGCGGACGCGCCGAGTGACCTTGAGCCAAGGCACGACCCTTCTCTGGACGCGTCGCGCTCCGAGGTCGGCGACGTCTTCACGGCCGCCGGCACCCGCCCCGCCGCCCTCGGCGCGCACAGCCACGAAAGTCTCCCCGCCGCGCCCGCCCACCCGGCCTGCCAGAGGGTCGCTGGGTCTCTTACCCGGGCGTGCACCGTCCCCATGGTTCCCTCTCCGGGGCAGAGTTGAGCTAGTGAGCGCAGACGGCTCGCCCGCTGTGGCAGAGCCGCGGGTCAGAGCAACCTCCTCAAGGCCCCGGATGCTGCGCACTGGGGGCGGCCATGATGCCCCGCCCACTCACCGCCCCCTGGGTCATAGCGCCTTCACTCATTGGTCCTTAGAAGTCTGTGACCCGGATGTTCACACGGCGCCCCCCCACCCCCCGGACCCTGTGGCCTGGCGACGGCGCAAGCGCAGAATGCTCAGGGGCGCGGGAGAAGAGCTAAAGAGATGTTGGTTCAGAGGGCTCCTAAGCCTTGATGCCGCTCTTCTGACACTTCCAAAAGGAGTAGAGGAGGGACCCAGCACGTGTGACCGGCTGCAGCTGTGTGTGAAGAAGGAAACTCAAATGTTCTTGACTTTCTTTTTCCTCAAGATGGAACTCAAGGCCTTGTGCACTGAGTTTAGAGTTGCGCCCCAGCCCTCTGTGCTGTTTCCAAGCCAGTTTCACAAGCCCAAGCCTTGAAAGGCCACACAATGCCCTCAGGCCCAGTTCCTGGGACCCAAGAAACCGGTCTCAGTCATCAAGGTGAGGGATTGAGGCTCTTGCTGACCCCAGCTCAGACTCAAAAGGCCATGCTAGGCGTTTAAGAGAGATTTGCCCAGACAGTCTAAGAGCCGGAACAAATTTTAAGCTCAAGTCACACAAGGCTGAACATATTTTTGAAATTCATTCTGCCAGTTTTCTCATCTGTGAAATGGAGATGGTGTGACTTTTAAGGCATAGCGTGAGTGGGTTACTCTTCATGCCCAGCACACCGTGAGCACTAAGTAAACTATGCAGGTTACTCTCACAAGTGGGCCTGCACACTGCCAGCTCTGAATAAATGAAAGTTTCTCCCTCCGAACTATCACGTTTTCTTGTGTGCTCTCCCTCCCTGTTCCTTCTGGAGCACACCACCTCTGAAAGATGAGCCATGAGGTTGCCCTGCAGTACAAGAGTCTAGGGCGTGGTTCAAGTGTAGAGCACTTGCAAGCCTGAGTTCAATCCCTAGTACACCAGAGAGAGAGAGAGAGAGAGTTTTGAGCCAATATTTGAGAGCCTGTGTGTGCAAGGTAAAAATGTTGGGAACATGCTGCATACCGCACACAAAGGAGGCTCACGAGAGGTATCTCCTGTGCAAAGTTTAATAAGCAGGCTGGCTGGCAGAGAAGAAAAAATGGCGCAGCAGCTTTTCTCCGCGGGTCTGGCCTTAAGTAGCATTTGGGAGAAAGCAAAGGCTAGGGACAGACAAAGAGAGGTGGCAGGAGATAAGGGACAGTGGGGCTTTGTTCTGCAAGGGATGAGACCAGCTGCTGAAGCAAGGTCTAGGGGCGGGCAAAGGAAGGTGGCAGGAGATAAGGAACAGTGGGCTTTGTTATTCAAGGGATGAAACTAGCTGTGGTTCAGGCTGTAGAATGGTGGCAAGGGGCAGTTCTTATCATTCCCCCATTTTTTGTTTAATAATGATGAGGGTAGTGGCTGAGGATCAGGAATTGGGGCAAAGCATCGGTCTCTTTAGCTGCTTCCTACTGGCAGGAGGCATTGTATGGGGCAGGATCCTCAGGCTCCTGTGGCGTCCTGGATGGGGCCTTCACAGTAGTTTTTCCAGGTGGTTTTGGAGAGGTTGGTGTCCCTGGAGGTACAACTGGTTAAATTTTTGATTAGCAATAGAGACATGTAGTATGATACAAGGGAGGAACCTTAAGAATAGGAGAGCAAGAACACAGGCATCAGGACGGGCATTGGCCAGGAGAACCAGTGTGAAATGTTCTCTAGAGGATTTTAAGAGTCCATTCTTTAAGAGGTGCTGCCACTGGGGGATCCCATTGAGCTTGACAGCAGTGGGTCTTGTGAGAATGACCAGATGAGGACTGGTCTATCGAAGTCACAATGGAGAGGGTAGAAGATCTTTTAGGAAAAAAACATCCCCTGGTTTAACAGAAATTGTCATAGGGTGGGGCAGGATCTGGTCTGTATGCTCTTTGAGAAGTTCCCTGAAAAGGTTAAGATAAGGCAGGTAGTCAGTCAGAGGAGCAGGGTCTGTTGGAAGCAAGTTTTCTAAGAGAAATGGGTGGCCATATATTATTTAAGACCCAAATAGTAATATTAGGAGGAGCATAAAAGGGTGTCTGCTAAGGGACTGCATACCTAGGGATCTAAATTTTTGGAAAATCCTATAACTCCCAAGCTTGCTGTAAGCCGTCTTATGGTATGGGGGGAGGGAAACGGAAGATTGGGTTGATTTACTCATGTCTCAGGGAATTAGTCTGTCCCTTTAGGAACACACCTAGGTAGGTGACCTGAGGGAGACATAATTGAGCATTTTCCTTAGAGACTTTGTATTCCCGGAGGCCAGAAAGTTTTAAAAAGGACTCAGTGCCCTGCAGATAAGGGGCTCTGTGGCTTTGCATTGAAGAAGGGTGGCCTCTGGGTAGTGCCAATCTAATGAGTCTCTGGTTAGGGCTGTCCACAAAGATGAGGGCTGTCTTTAAAGTCTTGGGACAAGACTGACCAGGTTAGTTGTTATGAAGCATTTATGGGACCTTTCAAGGCAAATAGAAGCTGACTGTCAGAATGCAGGTTAAATGTAACACTTTTGGATAAAAGATTTAGCTCATCATTGTACATAAACTGACACTTTTAACTCTGTAAATGTACCATATTTAGATAAAATCTAGACACTGAACACAGTTATAAGGTGGTCATTTAAGAGAACTTTGCATGAGCAAATATGTAAATGAACTCTGATTTAGTATACTTAAAGTTTGACAAGATCAACAGAAAACATAAATAATTTTTTTTGATAAAAGCTTTTTGTGTAACTTTTTTTGTAAATGTTACTCAGAGCAGAACAATATTAAGATAACCTTGTTATTTTGTAGACATAGAGAATTTGATCTTAGTTTGACATGACCCTAAAAATCTTTTAGGCAACTCTTAGATTATACTCAACTTTAACTTTGTTACACATTGAAGCTTTTTATTATACATTTTTTAAACTTACTCAGACCTTTATATAACATACTAAACCCTTTGATGGCTTGTCTTTATCCCTCCTATTTGAAACAATCTTTAGGACAAACCCTTCTTTATAAAATCCTTTTTTAATCTGAAAACACTTTTTCTTTAACTTCTCAAAAAATACATTTATTACCTATTTATATCTCTTTCACTTGTTTACTTTGTAACTTGTATTTTAAAATTAACTTTTATAAGAATTTTAAATTTATTATAGGGGCTGAAGTAACTAATTAGTACTTGTTTTTTAAGGAATTTATGATAGGCATAAGGCCTCATGTCCCTCAGGCTTGAGGGGATATTGTTTTGGGTGTGGAAACTGTGAGGGATTTTTGAGTTTTATTTGAATAGGGAGGGCTGTCCTGGCTCACCCTACAGTCATCCCATCAGTCCACACTGTGGAATCTATTTGTTCCTGAAGGAGGGGGCAGCAGAGATAGCTGCCTGGGGGGAGGAAAATTTGAGCTTTTAGTTGAGATAGTAAATCCCATCCCAGCAGTCACTAGAGTTTTAGGAACTATGAGGAAAGGGTGACGGAAGAGGAGGTCTCCCCAAGAACAGGCCAGAGGCCGGGTAAATTAGTGCTCTAGAGGCTGGCCAGATTTGACCTGAATGATAACCTTGTCATTGGACTGGGGACCGGGAGAGAAAGGTAAGACAGAGAAATGGGCTCCACTGTCTAGCCAGAAAATGATCTTTTGGTTTTTTTTGACATAATGGTTACCATGAGGCTTCTTAACATTGATGCCAAGAAGTGGGTTGTGGACAGGAGCCTGGGACCCATCAGATGGCAATCAAGATGCCATAGGAGGTGGCATCTTGCCTTCCATCTGGAGACAAGGGCACTTAGACCTCCAGTGGTTACCTTTGCAGAGAGGGTATGGTCTTGGTTGGGGGTGGAGCTGTCTCCCGCGCAGTCCCCCCTTAAGCATTCTTTGTAGAAGTGCCCCTCCTGTCCACCATGGTAGCAAACTCAAGATGTAGGCTCCAGTTGGGTGGGGGCAGCAATGAGGTCATGTCTCTTATCTTTCTCTCTGTTAGTAATGTCCCAGTTATAGTATACAGACATGGCTAGTTGTATTAGTTGATCCAATGACTTTTCTCCTTAAGCCACAGACTGAGTTTTCTACAAATATCAGGGGCTGACTGTTAGAAATTCATCTTTGAGGAGAACCTCTCGGCTGAGGCTGCAGCGGTGAGGGTGAACACAGACGTTTTGGGGGACCGGGCAGGGCCCGGGCGGAGGCTGGGCACTCGGGTAGCGGGATGAGACTGGGGCTGTGAGGCCGAAGGGGTGGTGGCAGCAGGGGAAGAGTCAGATGCTGGTCCCGGGGCACTGCTGAGGCAGCAGGTTCCCAACCTCGGAGACAGGTCCGGACCCCCTTGCCAAGCCTGTCCACTCTAGACCGCGACGCTGGGGCCGGTGGAGGTGCATCTCCCGCTCTATGAAGGATTTGGGGGCAGAGCACTTGGCAGGTGATGAAGGAGTCCAGCTTCTTGGGTTGTTGAGCTTCTACCTGGAACAAGAACAGAGATTCCAACCTCAAGAGAAAGGGCTGAGCTTGATCGAGGCCACCCCAGAGAATGATAACACTTTATGCTCAAGATTGAGAAATGCCAAAGTAAAAGATTTAAAGAGCTGAACTAACTTTTTTGGATCTAGCACTGAAACTTTTGTCCTGGCTGTCAGTATTCTGGACAGATTCTTGGCTCTCATGAAGGTGAAACCTAAACATTTGTCTTGCATTGGGGTCTGTTGTTTCTTGCTGGCTGCTAGAATAGTTGAAAAAGAATGTAACATTCCATCCATTCATGATGTGATTCGGATTAGTCAGTGTAAATGTACCGCTTCTGATATAAAACGGATGGAAAAAATAATTTCGGAAAAATTGCACTATTAACTGGAAGCTACTACTGCCTTAAACTTTCTGCAATTATACCACACCATTGTACTCTGTCATACTTCAGAAAGAAAAGAAATACTGAGCCTTGATAAGCTGGAAGCTCAGCTGAAGGCTTGCAACTGTCGACTTGTCTTTTCAAAAGCAAAACCATCTATATTAGC